GTGAAACTTTCAAGCACTAAATGTTGTTTAAATCAGCTTTTGAAGCTTAATGTATTGATAGGCTTGAAGGGATAAATATGTTAGTGGATGTGAATTCCCAAAAAAGTTTAAAGCTAAAAAAATGTCTTGAATTAATAAATATTGTGATCTTCAAGTGTTGCTCTCAGGATGGGCATCGGTTGATGAAAAGTTTGAGGCTGAAACTTCAAATAAAATTGATCTTCACTATAAAATTAAATAAGGTCTTCCTTAAGCAAATTGTAAGAAATTCAGGCTTTCCTCTAATATCTTTTAGATTTTTCCACACTTCCAGGAATCTCTATCGTCCAAAACACTTTGGACTCCCAGTTTAGAAGGCATAATATGCTGACAAAGATTTAAAAAACTGCAGCTTTCAAAAATTTGAACTCTACTTGAGAACATTTGGCTGGTTTTGCAACATGAAGCTGTTTTCTGACTGTCACTGATGGAAAGGATCAGTAGTAAAAGGTTTCCCTTCTTAAAGCACTTGCTCTGTCTGTCCGGTGGCTGGGTGAGTTGTCGTAGAAGGGAATAATAAAATCATCACTGTGGGTGAGACGGCGGCGTCTGCTGTGGCTGACTGATCTCAATCAGGGATGAGACAATCAAATATCAGGAGGTGCTGTTTCTACTATCCTCTTATCTCCAATAATGTTTTATCTCAATCTGTCCCACAGGCGCCAAAAACTTGTACATAATCTCTGTGAAGGGCATCAAGGGGCGTCTGAACCGTCTGCCAGCTGCAGGAGTCGGTGACATGGTCATGGCTACAGTCAAGAAAGGCAAGCCAGAGCTCAGGAAGAAGGGTAAGGGATTGACCGATGACGGCGCATCTTTGCCAGGGACAAATAAGCCATTTTTATTGTGATGTTTATTTTTTCAGTTTCACTGGTCTAATGGGCTCTATTAAGAGAATTTTGAGATAAATGAACCAATGAAATGTTTTAGAGAAGTTCTATTTTCAGGCTTTTATACTGAAATGTGTTCATTCAGAGACCTAAAAGAATCCAGGCCCCCCGTAATTAAAATGCTTTTCTAGATCATGTTTATTTTAACAGATAAATCCTTTTTCTTTTTTTTTTTAAGGAAAAGTCCAGTCATCAAGGAATAATCAGTGGGTCATAAATGCATAAAACTATGTTCACGATGATTCAATGAATTTAGCGTTAATCAGTAAAAAAAATTGAAATAATTTTCATTGCAATCACAGTCTGGGAGTGGCCATTTTTAATAGTTTTAAATATAGTAACGCCTCATTCCTGCCATCTTCCGCAGTCACGGTGCGGTAAGCCTAGCACCATTCTCCCATGTGTATGGATGTTGGAATATATCGGGTAAACGTGGGGAAAAAAGTTATTTCAGCTTTCCGATTCATTGTCCTCCACGGACGGGTTCGTTGTTGGATTGCCAACTTAATCAAACAGCCGTCTGTGGCAGCAGGCCCCGCTTTGGGACCGGCTTACACTCAGGCTTCTTCTCCCTTATCAAAGATCATGTGCTGTGTTGAAAAAAGATGAGATGTAGAGACGTTAACCAATGACCCTCATCAAAGGCCCAGCAAAGAACGGCATCAGCTAAAACTAAAAAAATGAAGCTGATTTTGGTGCCGTTTTCTTTCCTTTTAAATGTCTGTCAGGTGGTCATTCCATTCAGTGTCTCACATTTTGATAGGATTACACTGAAGATGTGAGCCCATGTTAGTGGGAAGTTGTCAGCCTTGTGACAGTCAATATGTTTTACCCCATAGAAGCTGTGTATGTTTAGGTCAGTTTCAGGTTTCCGCTCTGCTTCACTTCATGTTTCTACTTCATAAACTGCAGCTCCAATGTCCCGGTTAGATCAGAGTCAGTTATGGTGGTGTGAGTGTCATGGTTTGGGGCTGTGTGTACTGCTGGTCCATCCTGCATTGTCGTGCTTCTCTTTTGCTCTGAAATGTTAGATCTGCAGATCTAGATCATGCAAGTGTAGCACAGAGCTGGCAGCCTTCATTGGTCCCATCTGAAAAGACAAACTCTGGATTTGGTGCTGACCTCATGCTTTCTGCTGCAACCCGTCCAACCTTAGGAAAGTCTTGGTGTTAAAAATTAAATTTTCTCAGCCACCTTTATGAAGGACATTTATTTCAAATCGTTTATCACACATCAGAGCCGTTTACGGCAGATCGTGTTATTTTGAGGGAAATTAAATGAACTAAACTCATTAGCTTTAATGATAGTTTCATAACTTAAAGGTCTCTTTAAATCGTTTACCTTACTGTGAAGGTGTACTGACCGTTGTAGGATGCTGTCTGTGATGGGTTGGTTTCTGTCAGTGTAGTTCAGAACAAAACATGTTGGAAATGATCCATTTCCCTTCCAGCTCTAATGATTTCTCCCGTTTTAAAGTAACTTTATTCTTTAAAATGTCACACTCCTTGTGCTAAACCTTATGTTGTAAAAATAATGTCCAGTGCTCTGTCGTTATTTCCACATTGTGTGACCACTTCTACTGTAACCCTTCGCTGCTGTAACACAATTTTCCCATTGTGGGACAATAAAGATGTTTTCTATTCTAACCGACTCCTTCTTGTCTTCAGTGCATCCTGCGGTGGTGATCCGGCAGCGGAAGTCGTATCGGCGAAAAGATGGAGTGTTCCTATACTTTGAAGACAACGCTGGTGTTATAGTCAACAACAAAGGAGAGATGAAAGGTAGGCTTTCTGCTACACAACCGTTTCCTGGTCATTAATCAGCCTCATGGTGGAGCTGTTGAGGATCCAGATTCCCCTTCCAAAAGCACTTGCTCTGTCTGCTCGGTGGCGGGGCGAGTTGTCGATGAAGGGAACATTAAATTCACCTCTGTGGGTGAGACGGCGGTGATTCTGTGACTGACTGATCTCAATCAGGGATGAGACAGATTTATTTAGTCAGCGTTCAATGATGTCTGTTTGACCAGCATAACGGTTTGTTTGTGTCTCTGCAGGATCAGCCATCACAGGACCAGTGGCCAAAGAGTGCGCTGACCTGTGGCCCAGGATCGCCTCCAATGCTGGCAGCATAGCCTGAGCAGAACCTGTTTTCAATAAAAACTGTTAATCAAGTCGCTTCTTCTGGTCGTTTAATTCAACATTGATGGTGGAAAGAACGATGTTGGTCTGCAGAGTTTAAAAACTTCCATCAGACAGGTTCCTCTATTTTCCTTTTAAAACTGTTAAGAGTTGAATTACTTCACTACCACCACTAGATGGTGCTAAAAGAGGTGATAAACATTTTCAATATTTTAGTAAGTGATAAAGCATAAGATTTGGACTCGCAGCCCCCACATCTTTACTGAGCTGGTACTAAGAACATAATTGGCTGTTTGGTAAATTTATTGTTGCTGAATACTCAGAAACATGCCTTAACATTTCCACAATAAACCATTTCAATACATGGATATTAAAATAAGCTGAAAGGCCATTAAAAACAGGCTGAACCCAAGGTGGTTTTATACGGTATAAAGGTAAAGGAGGCCTGTTTAGGAACATTCAGAAACAGAATCTGATGCAAAAGAAAAAGTGTCCAATGATCAAACCTGTATGTCAGGAATGAAGTTTATGTAACTTAAAAATCAGTGTCATCAATTTACTATGAAACTCTCTGAGGTTAAGGGGAGGGGGGTAAAATCAATCATAAAGAACAGATCAAATGAGCCAATGCATCATGTAGTGCTGGCCTAATGGTTACAGCAGTGCCAGTGTGCCCTGAGAAGGTTGCAAGTAACCGGTTTGATCCAGCCAAGACCCCATACTGCTCCCTGGGCGCCGCACAATGGCAGCCCACTGCTCCCTAAGGGAATGGGTTAAATGCAGAGGTAAATTTCTCCAATGTGAGATCAATAAAGTTCAATTATTTACTTGCTTTGTCCTTGACAATGTAGTGATAAAGTTAAATTCTATTTTCCAAATAGATCTCTGAACAGAGATTTTATCGAGGCTCTAGTTAAATGGGGGAGTAGTGGTCGGGGCATATAGCTTGGAATCCTGAGTTCAAGTCCCACAGACTGCCACTCTAGGTCTCTGCTCCCTGGGTGCTGCACCATGGCAGCCCATTGCTCTGCAGGGGGAGGGGTTAAATGCAGAGGTGAATTTCTCTCTTTAAAAACCTGTTCATCAGTGCTGCTTTAAAGAATGTATGGTTTTGCATAATATATATACATGAAATGGGGGGAGTAAATGTTCACATTTTCAGAATACATGTTAAAATGACATGTTTTCATGAGACGGACTGTTTTTGCAATCTAACGTAACAGAACTGAAGCTCAGCGTTGCTCAGATCGGTTAACCTGGACTGAAGCTTAACTTTATACTGATCAGGTCAGACGTGGCCCCGCCCACTCCGCATGACATTAAAAACTCATGATAGGATGCAACATGTTGTCAATCTAAGTATTTTTAACATTCCCATATGGCTTGTTTTAGTAATTAAAATTGTAAAAATGTATTAATATATATTATGTTATTATAATTCCTAGAGATTTTTGTTTGTGTTTTAGCTCCAGAAAAAGGTCTGAAAACCCGAGAAGAGCTAAGCCACCTTTTGGATCAGGATCCTTAAAAGGTGAAAAGAGAAATCATTTTTAATCTGATTACCAACAACATTAATTCGACCGTCTATTTAGAAAAAACAGATTTAGTTTAGGTAAACTGCAGATTTCTGCAGTGCTGCAGCTTCATACTGTGGTTGGTTTCTGCTGTTTCTAACACCTTTTTTAATTCTATTATTAGATTTTTTTATCTTAGAGACTCTCATTTTATTAATAGATTGCACTTCAAAATGTATCTAAGTGATGTTGAACTTAAAGCTAAATGAATGTTAAGACATTTCAAACCTAAACAGCTACCTTCTAAATGAGAAATCTACACGAGGACTGACACATTCGAAAAGTTATGATTGTTAGAAACTAGTTTCTTTAGGTCCCATTACCTGAAAACTGGAGATTGTACCTGAAAAACGGCTAATTTATGGAATCAGATCTAGTCTAGGAAACTGTCTCCGGCCTAAGTCCTCATCCCTGGGGGCCTCAGTGCGCGTGCTGAGTGTGGGGCTGGGCTGGGGATGCCGTTCGCAGGTGGCATGGGGGTGGGTGTGCCACGTTCCATCCCTGTAGGTGCAGTAACACACAGTCTGCTCATCCATGTTCACGCGCTCTCCTGCTGGGATCACCCGGCTGCCAGCGAAGCAGTTGGGACCTGGGAAAAAAACGGGCAGTACGGCAAGGCTTCAGGTCTGCTCCCGAGTTTATGCCAAAAGGAAAACACACCTATAGATTCATAACACATAGCATGGATAGTTAGTATAAGAATTATTTTGTTTCTTAGGATTTTCTGACCCAACAAAAAGTAGAGAGCAGTGGAAAAATGATCCTCATGGATAATTTATAAATGCTTCACTTCCTTAAACAACTATTATAATTAGATAACATGAAATATATACCAAAAGAAGTAAAGATTTATTTTTTAATATAAAAATGATCCAAGCTCAGCTGATTTTCTCGAAGGAGTATGTTTGAGATAACTGCTAGTAAGACGTCACTGCGGAGGAACTTTGGTCGACCCAGAATATGAGTTCATTTGTTCCCTCACTTAGAAACTTAGTGTCCTAGTCAAAGTATGGCCATACTTTTATTGTTCATTGTCCTTGCTTCATGTGGTGTGAATTTAAGGTAAAAAAAACATCCGTTTTTATCCAGTAACGTGGCCCCAGACATCATACTTCCCCCACCATGTTTTACTGTGCAGTGGATGGTGTTCTCTTTGTGGATTGCTGTGTTTGCGTTAGTTTGATAACCTTCCAAAAACATTAATTGTGTCTCTTCAGGCCGCTCTGTGATCATCAAGATGTTTTTTTAGATGAACCTTTAAAATCTTTTTTGGGTAAGCTGTGGATCTGGGCTTACAACTGTCCAATAGAGGCCTTTTTTGTCCGTTTTTTTGCTGATTCCAAATATCATAAATTAATAGTGACTCAAGCCAAAGCAGAAGGCCATCAACGGTCGGCCATTACCAGTGCTTAGTGATATTAGCCTCAGTTAGGAGGTAGAGGAGTAGGAACTGGGAACAGAAGGTAAGAGCTATAATTTCCAAAATTCTGAATCCATCCTCTTTCTTATTGATGAATCATGACCTCTGGCTGTAAAATGGGGCATGAGGCCTGAAAGCCTCAGATGTTCTCTGTTACTCTGTCACCAACTGGATGAATCGTCACTGGCGTCTTGGAGGAATTTGCACTGTAAGCATTTCCACTCGGAAAGATGTTGGTTTTCATCTGGTTTTGAATGACTTTCATCAATATTTCAGCATGATTCGCTGCTTTCTGACATTTTTTTATGTCTTCATGTTCAGTGCAGTTTATTTCTATAGCACCAATTCACAACACGTCATGTCAAGGCACTTTCCAGTTCACCAGATCATACAGTCAAATTGATTCAAAGGTTTTGTATCTAAGGAAAACCAGCTGATTGCATCGACTCATTGACTCTTCAGCAATCTCTCACACTAAGCATGCTTGTAGCGACAGTGGAGAGGAAAAACTCCCTTTTAACAGGAAGAAACCTCCAGCAGAACCAGGCTCAGTGTGAGCGGCCATCTGCTGAGGCCGACTGGGGTTCAAGGAGACAGAAGCAGACATAGAAAAAGAAGCATAGATACAAAAGGCAACTGTCAACCAGCTCCACAGGCGGCCCCGTCCAGGAAACACACAGCCAGGCAGACGAGCTCCGAGCCAGCTCCCATGTCAGAGGATGAAGAGAGCACATCCAGTTAGTCACAGTCAGAGAAACAGGACTACACTGGAAAACAGGCCAAGCTCCAACATCTAGAAACAAAGGTGTTGATGGCAGCAGCACAGCTGATATTTCTCTCCAGGATGGAGTCACAGCCAAACAGGAACAGACCAGATGAAGCTACTATGAGAAAAAGCAGAGAGAGCAGAACGTTAGAGATTGAACTAACAGATTCTGCAGAGTGGGAGAATAGAGATAGAATGAAGCAGAATGATGAAAAAGGGGTCCCTATGTCCTCCAGCAGTCTAAGCCTATAGCAGCAGAACTATAGAGATAGCTCAGGATAACCTGAGCCACTCTAACTAGAAGCTTTATCAAAAAGGAAAGTTTTAAGCCTAGCCTTAAAAGTAGACAGGGTGTCTGCCTCACAGACTAAAACTGGTAGTTGGTTCCACAGGAGAGGAGCCTGAGAACTAAAAGATCTGCCTCCCATTCTACTTTTAGAAATTCTAGGAACCACTAGTAAACCTGCAGATTGAGAGCGAAGTGCTCTGTTAGGAACATCAGGAGCAATCAGATCTCTGATGGAGGTTGGCCATTTTTTTGTAATCATAATCTAATTGGGGGGGGGGGGGCAGATACACGTGGACAAAATTACTGCATTTCCTGTTTAATGTAAGGAAAACCCACAATGGCCACAGAATTAGACAAAAGAACCATAATTTAATATTTTGTTGCAGAACCTTTAGAGTCAATCGCTGCCCTCAGAGATTCCTGTTCCTGTCAGTCAGACCTTTGCTCCTCTTCGCAGGTTTTCTGCCTCACTCCTCATCAGCAAACTGGTCCAAGTGTTTCAGGATTGAAGGCTGTCTTCTCCAGACGGCCTGTTTCAGATTCTTCCACAGATGCTCAGTAGGATCTATGTCAGGGCTCCTAGAGGCCACTTCAGAACAGTCCAATGTTTCTGTTTCTAGCTGTGTGTTTCAGCCCATTATCCCGTTAAAGACCCATGACCTGCAACTGAGACCAAGCTTTCTGACTTTAGGCAAAACATTTCTCTCTACAATCCCTTCATAGACCCGAGAATCCATTGGGCACTGCAGAGATTCTAGACACCCTGTAGCAGATGAAGCACAACAGGCCCAGAGTATAACAGAGCAGTCATGTCACCAAACAGCACACTGTCTACCTGTAAATCTATTTAATGACCCACTAACTGAATACAAGATTGCATACACTTGTGATGTTAACAGTGCACACACCTTGAAGCAACATGACCATTTGGTCACATTATTTTGAGTAATTTCCTGGGATAACGCCATCATTTTGAAGCGTGGTTGAAGAGCAATGTCTCAGTTTCATTTTTTAATTTTTATAGAATTTTTATCAATTGTTGCTTTTGTCAGATCAGGGTTCTTTTAGTGACTATTGTGATTTTTTTTTCATTAAATTTGTCCTGTTTTTGTGTGTATTTTGTTACTGTTACTGTATTTACTTTCCCATAGCCTCTGGTGGTTTTAAGAGGTTTCTGTTTTCTGATAATGAATGAAATGATCATCTGATCAGCACTTTCTGTATTTCCTCTGGTTCTCTTTGATATGAAAATTTGTTTGCTGAACATAACCACAGCTTTGACGGAAAAGCAAAATCAGAACAAATCTGTAGATTTAAAGTGTGGATCAAATCTTTTTTATCATTTGCATCTCTCCCTCACAGGTAGAGGTTCCTTTTTTGGCAGCTACCTTTGAAACAATTATCAGCAGCCGCCAGAGGGAGGACAGGAAGCTCAGCGGGTCTGATGCCAAATCCCACTGCGTGCACTAAGACACAGCTGACACAAGGGAAACTGGAGCAATGACAAATAAAAAATAATGACGCAACAAACTAAACCATCTGTTCCTCTGTCTGTCCAGGGGTAACTAGAGGTTACAAATTCAATCTGTCCAAAACAAATGAAAACAACATTTATGGTCCGTGATCCAGCAGAGAGGTCAAAATTCAGTTTTCTGCAAACTGAAATTAGAAAAATGGGAATGCAGCAGTGCAAAATGCTTACATTTCAGCTCCTGCTTTAGAAACAGACACAAACACTAATTCCACCAATATCTAAGAGGGACTTAAAGGCTGCTGGAGCATAAATGACATAACAGGGAAGCTTCTGTAAGCTGCAGGGAGAGGAAAGTGACGTAGGCAAGGCTGCAGGGTGAACACTCACACAACAGCAGCAAACTAACAAGAGGCGGGGGCTCCTGCTTTGGCATCAGAGTGAGAACTGTTCGACTATTTTGCTGGTTTTCATTTGCTTTTTCTTCTATCAGTTATATTCAGAAGACTAAGGAGTAGGGTTGGGCAATGTATTGCATTTGCAATAAAATAACAATTTAATAAAATGCAATTTTTTAATTGCAAAGACTCTGAATTTTAATTTCATTACACTTAACAAGAATAAAACTCAAAATGTCTCACTCCAGTTCTTTAGGTAGCAGTAAAATACTTAAAGGGGGGGTGCAGCCACAGCGAAAGGCCGACAGAGGAGCAGCTCCCATGCAGATCCATCCATGCAACTAGAAGTAGCTCATAGTANATATCAAAAAAGTACTCCAGAGTGTTGTTCAGCATGGGGGTGAGTAGAAAATGAAGGCTAATCATGTTTTGGGTGTACTATTCCTTTAAGCCTTCAGGAACTATAATGGCTCTATGAGGAAATTTGGATGAAAAGTAACAATATTTCTTTTCCCATTTGGCAGTAATGAGTAAAGTAAACTGAAATGAATGATCAACGCTATTTTGCGCAACATAAAATATCCTCCATGGAGGATGAAGCCTCCTGTCCTACAGTAAAGTAAATAATTATTCACACCGAATTTCAATGAAAACGATTCACCATTTTTGGCGACTTTTTGGGTTTAATTGTTTCCACAGACTCTGAGATGCTTAGAAGCTCATCTTTCCACCAAATCATTCTTACACCCAACAGGAAAAACTTTGAAGTTTTTTTATTTTATTTTCTTCTTTATGATGAAATAAGCAATGACTTCTAGTCCCTGCTGTTGGTCTCAAAGTATAACTGATGCTCTCATCTCCTGTGATTGATGAACAAGTGGACAAAGAGAAGAACCCTGAAGGATGAATAGAACTTTATTTATGTTTTTTTTTTTTGGTATCTATCCTACCCTGTAGGTTTATGAACCAACTATTTAAACTCAAATGAGAGTCTAAAAGGGTCCACAAATTTTTCCATTTAAATGACATAAACACTGTGTCTGTGGTGCAAAACCCAGAACACTTTAGATACAAAGGGCTACAGGCTGGAATAAATACAGATCTCCTCTAAGGAGCAATACAACTTATTACCCACAGCTCATAGTAGATTATTTGATAGCATCAATAAAAGTATAATCCTGAAGAAACATTTTATCCAAGTGCAGTTCTGGTCCAAAAATAAGAGCAGGCAGCTGATCTGGGCTCCTATAGGTAGAGAATTGGGGGATAGAGTCTAGTGCAGAACAGCTCCATCAATGACTTTAAGAAAGCGACCATTTTCCTCTGGTCCATCAGATGTCAACAGGTGTGACACCCTATCAGTGCTGAGATACATAGCTTATCTCAGAGATGGCCTATAGCTAGCTGAGCTGTGCTATCCCAGGCTACAACCTTTGTTTCTCAATGTTTTGCTAACTTGTAGTCTACCAAAGTGTGTTTGTTGCCTTTGGTTTAAGTTTAATCTTCCTCTCCTCCCATTAATAAATAGAAACAGTATATTTACCGTAACATATCTAATGTTCATTTATTACGCTGTTTTTGCTTCTAGCTCAAAATATAATTCAAAATAAATATTAATTAGCATTTTTAGTATTTAATCAGATGAGATAATAATAATATGTGTGCTGCAAATTAACCTTGAACTGTAAAGTGCCTTGAGATGACTTGTGTTGTGAATTGGCGCTATATAAATAAACTGAATTGAATAGAATTGAACTGAACCTTTGATTTCAGAAATTTTGTCGCCTTATCTTTTTTAGCTTTAGATTTAAATTGCCCTTATCCTTACGTCCTCCTTCTCTCGATAACAAACCCTGGATTGGACATCAAAGATTAATTTACTAAACCAGTCTTAATTTTATGAGTTCATTAGTTTCTCAAAAGTCTCTTTAATTTGTAGTTTGGTTGATGGTTACTAGCCGAGTTTTAAGTTTATTGACCTAAATGTTATCAAATTAATAATTCTTATCATTAGGCTGTGCATTAACTTAGTATTGTTCTTCGGGTTATTCATGGGAAAGGCAAACTATTTTTGTAAAACTGCTTCTATGTTTATTGTCTAATTGTTTAATCCCTTGTATCCCTTGAGAATCATTTGGTTTTGTTGGCAGCGAGTCAAACAAACTCTGGGCTGCCCGTAGCATTTCCTAAAGACTTGCAACACTTTGTGCTGAGCGAGTCTTACCAGTCTTACAGATGGGACAGCAGTGGTTGGGCTCATAGATGGGATTAACGCAGTGAGGAGCCGGGCATTCAGAAATGCTGCAGTAAACCTCTCTGTTGGCCTCGCAGCGGCACCACTCACACCGCGACACCTGAAAGGAATGAAACATTTCATCAATGTTAACTTTATTTTAAGGTTATATAGCATATAAACTCCAACCTTGGTTGCTTTGAGGGACGAGTTAGAATAATTGTTACTCTTCTTATAATTATTAATTAACTAATTAATTCATTCATTTGTTTCTCACCTTTGGTGTCGCCATTATTCAAGCATTTTTATGTGATGGAAAAGAGTTTGCAAACAGCTTGGTTTGCATTATATCCTGGTTGTATATTTTTACATCAAAAACAGGACTGGTTTTAACATCCTGGTCATTTAGAAAATATCCTAATTACTTCTCAAAATTTTCAGATTTGCTTGGTTTTGGTAAATAAAAAATAAAAAATCTTTATTCCTTATTTTTTTATAACATCAAACATTTTTTCTTAAACTTCTATTAAAGCTGAAGTCTGTA